TCCAAGTAGCCGGAACTACAGGCACGTGCTACCATGCCCGGCTAATTTTTAGTTTACTGTAGGGATGAGGTCTCACCAAGTTGCCCGGGTGGGTCTCGAACCTATAGGCTCAGGCAATCCACTTGCCTCGGCCTCCCAAAGTGCTGGGATTACAGACTGAGCCACCCACACCCAGCCTGTTGCATGTTTTTATGTACCATCGAGAGAATAAAAGGTAAGAAGCAGCCTACATTTTGCTTCCATGTCTAATGGCTTTGCTTACAACTGTCTTCTCTGGAGGACAGAGGACTTTGCCCACGTAGTTCTGATAGAGTGGGCGTTTTCCCAGTTCTCACAAATGTGCTATGGCATCGTTTTGATTCTGAGACTAAGGACCACTGGGGAACTTACATGAAGGCCACCAAGAATCAGTTGGACAATGAGCGTACGTTTGGAAATCTAACATTGTGTTCTACCCATTTGGATTAGGGTTATGAGGAGATGTCTGCTTTGTTAACAAGAACTGATGCAATAAAATTCACCAGACCAAGATGACCGGGAAACTGAGTTCACAAGTAAAAAAGTTTGGAACCCAGCTCTTCCTATTCTGTTTTGAAGGAATTAATTAAGTTCAGTTTTACCTTTCGTGGCTCCCTTTGAAACAAGTACAAAGCCAGGTCTTGTCCTTCTTCTACAGTTGACATGCAGATTATGGGTATGAAGGCAGAATAATTGATGACTTACTTCCTTATAAGCTTGTCTTGAAGGCCTCTTCCCTTACACACAGCCACACTTCAAAGAGCCAGCTGTCGAGTATCTATTTCTCAGTTTCATTATCAACGAGAGCTCAAAACTCATGTGAATGATGGGAAGAGGCAAAATTTTCTCAATGAAGTGTAGGAAATTACCTTCTTATATCTTTCAGTCATATATCAGATTTTCCAATAAACAGGGTAATTTTATGAATCTTTTTTTTTTTGTGAGTTGGAGTCTTACTCCATCGCCCAGACTGAGCGGCCACTGCAACCTCGACCTGCTGGGCTCCGGCGATCTTTCCGCCTCAGCCTTCCGAGTAGCCGGAATTACAGGTGTGTGCAACCACACCCGGCTAATTTTTTGATTTTTATTGTAGAGATGAGGTCTCGCCTGCCAGGTGGGTCTCGAACCCGCGGGCTCAGGCAATCCACTCACCTCTGCCTCCCAAAGGCACGGGATTACAGGCTGAGCAACCGAGCCCAGCTATAAATCTTAAAAGGCTATAAATCTGTGGATTTCAGAAAAACTTCTATAACTTGATAATAGTATATTTGAATCACAATTGCATTTTACCTTTTTGCTTTTGCTGTTCACCTTTTCCCTTATTTTAGTAATTTTTCTCAGTTTAACTTACTGTCAATACTTAGGTAAAATTTTATATTTTATAATACAATAAATCTGAGCTAACAGAAAAAATAATAATAATACCTGCCTCACAAGCAGGGCACAGTGATTCACACCTGTAATCCTAGAACTTTGAGAGGCTGAGGTGGGAGGATTGCTTGAGCCCAGAAGTTTGAGACCAGCCTAGGCAACAGAGCAAGACTCCTCTCTACCAAAAAATTTAAGATGAAAATCCGACCAGGTGCAGTGGCTCAAGCCTGTAATCCCAGCACTTTGGGAAGCTGAGGCAAGAGGATTGCCTGAGCAGGAATTCGAGACCAGTCTGAGCACCATGGAAAGGCCTCATCTCTACAATAAATCAAAAAATTAGGCAGACGTGGGGGCGCACATCTGTAGTTGCAGCTACTTGGAAGGTTGAAGCAGAAGGATCACCTGAACCCAGCAGGTCAAGGCTGCAGTGGCCATGGGCTTGCCTGCACTCCAGCCTGGGTGATGGGGTGAGACTCCAACTCAGAAAAAAAGAAAAAAGAAGCCGGGCTTCGTGGCTCAGCCTGTAATCCGCACCTTTGGGAGGCTGAGGTGAGTGGATTGCCTGAGCCTGCAGGTTCGAGACCCGCCTGGGCAGGCGAGACCTCATCTCTACAATAAATTAAAAAAATTAGCCGGGCGTGGTAGCGCGTGCCTGAGTTCCAGCTACTTGCAAGGCTGAGGCAGAAGGATCACCGGAGCCCAGCAGGTCGAGGCTGTGGTGGCCGGGAGCGTGCCACTGCACTCCAGTCTGGGTGACAGAGTGAGACTCCAACTCAAAAAAAAAAAAGAGAAGAAAAATGAAAAATCAATTAGCAGGGTGTGGTGGCACACACCTGCAACCCAGCTACTCAGGAAGCTGAGGCAGGATGATCGTGGCTGCAATGAGCCATGATAGTGCCATTTTGCTGCATTCCAGCCTGGGTGAGAGTGAGACCCTGATTCAAAAAGAAAAAAACCAGTCATGCTTTCATTAAGCCCATGCCCAGTCATGTTGTTTGAGCTCTGGCTACACCATGTTTCCCTAGGCTTTGACAGCATCCCCGTCACCCCCACCTTAAAGATGTGACTCTTTTCTCTTTCTTTCTCTCTCTAATCCACTTTCTAAATAAACTATATTTATTTGCCTCGCAAGATCACAGGGGAGTTGAAATGTGGAGAAGCCCAGGCAGGGGAAGCCGCAGGGAAGAGATGTCCCCCGCTCCCCTTCCTAATCCACATGAGAATTGGGTTTCCAGCTCTTGTGTTTAATTACTGAAAGGTAAAATGGGTGAATCTCCTGCATGCCAAGTGACCTTGACCTCAGGGAAGGAGCCAGAAGGGGGCCAGCAGGGAGGGAGGAGAGAGAGTTCTCCCAGGAACTCTCCTGCCTTTTCCTGCACACACACCCCAGGTGTGCAAATGCCCAGGAGACTATCTGGTGGGGTCATAGCTGCCCCCGCTGCCCCAGCATGCCCAACGCCTAGGAACAGAGCCTGACAAGCCAGATGGCTGGCTTTCGAGTGACTGGGTAAGGCACAATTGTAAAGATTAAGTGGGCGAAATCCCTCTCAATGGGTGCTGCCCTGGCCTCTAATACCACCCACCTGATTCCGAGACCCCCTGGGAGGGCTGGCCCACGTGAGCAAGAAGGCAGAAGGTTGGCTTTGTTTTATGAGATTTGTGGGCGGTGTGTGTGTAGGTCATGATATAGAGGATAAATGATAGATGATGGATAGATGATGATAGATAGGATGGGTGGGTGGACTGATGGATGGGATAGATCCGAGGAAAGATGTTTGTAGGTCATGATATAGATGCATTTCTTACTGTGGGCCACTGCTCTGGATACTGGTACTGTTGGTTTCATCACAAAGAATGAGGTCCTCTATGGTGAGCCCAGCCCTGGCCCCAGGACTAAGCTGGGGAGGCAGAAAGTCCGGGCTCAGTCTGGAAGCCCGGCTCCATCGAGGTGGGTAGCTAGATGTGGTGAGACAGGGCACTCGGATGGGAGCCCAGGGACTGGGAAGCCAAAGGCCCAGAACAGGAGCCCTGGAGAGACCCCTGGCATGGCCAGCCTGCCCCCACTCACGGTGCTCTCTGCCTGTGTCTGGTTATTCTCCTTGGGTGTTTTGGGACGTCTGAGAAAGTCCCCATTTCGGTGAAGCCAAGGGCTTGTGCACTTAGTCTATTGGACGACATGGCTGACAGGGACTGCAGGCGGGAACGTGGTGGGTGCCCACTGCTACGTGTCCTAACCCCCGTTGTCTCAGCAGGCAAGGAAACTCCCTCACATGCCACATATATACACACCCATATATATACACAGCACACCCTTCACATGCAAACACAGAATGCTCACACACCCTTCCTATCAGACATGCTGCGTGTAAAGGGGCAGGACTGGGCAGGGGTGTGACCATGAGCGGAGCAGAAAAAGGTCTCAGACCAATGCCAAGTCCTATGCGTTATCAGTTACTAGGACTTGTGGGTGTGACACACCCAATCGCTGAGAATAAACTAGAGACATGGAAAGGGATGGAAACATGAGGACTCTTTGATCCTGGGCTGCAAAGAATGAAGGTGGCAAAAAGATATCTGGCCCCAAGGAAATTCATGTTGGCAGGGCTCAGTGGCTCAGCCTATAATCCCAGTACTTTGGGAGGCTGAAACGAGTAGATTGCCTGAGCCTGTGGGTTCGAGATCAGCTGGGTATCTTGGCAATACCTCATCTCTACAGTAAGTCCCAAATTAGCTGGGCGTGGTAGTGCGCACCTGTAGTTCCAGCTACTTGGAAGGCTGAAGCAGGAGGATCACCCAGAGCTCAGCAGGTTGACGCTGGGGGTGGCAATGAGTGTGCCACTGCATTCCAACCTGGGCGAGAGAGTAAGACTCCAATTCAAAAAAAGAAAGAAAGAAAGAAATTCATGTCTGACCAGGCGTGAGGGCTCAAGCCTATAATCTCAACACTTTGGGAGGCCGAGGCAAGAGGACTGCCTGAACCCACAGGTTCGAGACTAGCCCCGGCAACATGGTAAGACCTCGTGTCTACAATAAATAAAAAATTAGCCAGGTGTGGTAGCACACACCTGTAGTTCTGGCTACTTGGAAGGCTGAGACGGAAGGATCGCCTTAACCTAGCAGGTCAAAGCTGTGGTGGCCGCGAGTGTGCCACTGCACTCCAACCTGGGAGACAGAGTGAGACTCTAACTCAAAAAAAAGAAAGAAAGAAGAAGAAATTCATGTCCCTAGCCAATGAGAAAGCAAGATGGTCCTGGTTCTAATTCCACATCTGCCACTTTTGGGGTGAGCCAATCACGGAGTTGCTTCTGCAATTCATGATAATGCCATCTAAAGCTTCCACTGTGCCTACCACCTCTCAGGATTGGTTGCACAGATCAAACCAACTTGAGTATTTGAAAGCATGCTGTAAACCATAAGGCACTGTGCTCAGGTCAGAGACTGTGATACAGGTATGGACGTCTACACCAACAACTAAAGCATCAAGCAGATTTCAAGACAGGCTCTTTAGCAAAAGCCTAGTGGGGGCCAGACTCTCCTGCTCAGTGTCCCCAGCTTCATGAGCCCCTCCCAGCCACCCCCATAGACGTGGGACACCCACACAGCAAGGATGGTTGGCAGAGTTAGCCGAAGTTTTATTCTGGGGGAAAAAACCCAAACACAATCGAATTAGTTCTTAGCTGGGGGCACGGGCAAGAGGGGGGTAACTCCAGGCAGTAAATTCCCCCCAGGAGTGGGCTGAGGGTTAGGGCTGAGCCTCAAGAGGGGTTCCCGTCCCCTAGGCTACCCCCTGCAAAGCCATCTTCTCCACAGGCTCTGGGGGGCCCCAGGAGGGGGCAGACTGGGAGGGGCTGCGGTGGCCATTCACTTGGGCAGGACATCAGAGGACTCAGACACCAGTTTCCCATCACGGGTCTCGATCTTCTTCACCACCACGGCCCTGGAGGAGCTGGTGCGGCTGAAGGTGCTAGAGCCCCCACCAGAGCCAAAGCCAAAGCCGTAGCTGAGGCCGGAGCCATAGGGTGAGCTCAGGCCACCTGGTGAGGGACAAAGGCAGGAACATGAGTACACAGGCCAATCCTGGCGGGCTCCCTGCTCCTTCTCCCTCATCCCCCTGGCCCATGCTCACTCCCTGGCCCAGATCTGCCAGCCAGTGACTGCTACTCCAGAGATCAGAAGCAGGTGGGAAAGCATGTCCATACAGCTGGAGGATCTTGGGTAAGTCCTTGAACTGAGCCTCAGCTTTCCAGCTGAGGAAATGTGCAAGGGTTGTAGAAAAAATTCATTAAAGACTGGGTGCAGTGGCTCAAGCCTATAATCCCAAAACTTTGGGAGGCCAAGGTGATAGGATTGCCTGAGTCCAGGGGTTTGAGACCAGCCTGGGCAACTTGGTGAGACCTTGTCTTGACAATAAATCAAAAACTTAGCTGGGCATGTTGGCATCCGCCTGTAGTTCTAGCTACTTGGAAGGCTGAGGCAGAAGGATCACCTGAACCCAGCAGGTCGAGGCTGCGATGGCCACAAGCCTGCTATTGCACTCCAGTCTGGGTGACAGAGTGAGACTCCGACTCAAAAAAAACACATTAAAAAAACCTGGCACAGTGGCTCACGCCTGTAATCCAAGCACTTTGGAAGGCGGAGGTGAGAAGACTGCCTGAGCCCAGGGCTTCAGGACCAGCCTGGGCAACATGGCAAGACCTCGTCTCTACAATAAATCAAAAAATTAGCCAGGCATGATGGCACATGCCCGTGGTTCCAGTTACCTGGAAGGCTGAGGCAGAAGGATCGCCTGAGCCCAGCAGATTGAGGCTGTGGGGGCTATGAGTGTGCCACTGTCTGGGCGACAGTGTGAGACTCAGAAAAAAATACATTAATACATATAGCACAGTGCCTAGCACACAGCTACCACTCACTGGGTGTTGTCTGTTGGTAACTATCAGGGGAGGGGTCTGCGCCCTCAGGATTCTCCCTTCCCTGAGGGCGCAG